TAAAAATTAAATAATTAATTACAAAAACTGCTATCAATGTTTGTCCTGTAAAGTCTCAAGAATAACAAAAATAGGTAGCCAAAAAGTTAATAAATAAAGCCTAAAAATTACATAATTATATAAGAATGGACAAATAGGTTAAAATATCTTACAAATATAATATTTACAAAGTTAAAATTACTTGAAAGATAAACTATTTCAAAATCATAGATCTTCGTATTGTTGCTGGTAAAGAATTAACCAGCCACCCTTTCTCCCTTCAAATGTGACATGCCACCCTTTCTCCCTTCAAACGGCCCTCCTCCTACTAACCTAATGAACCCCCCACCATCTCCACCTCATTTTCACTCAGGCAAGAAACAACAAGACAATATACCAGCCTCCCCAAATACATTCCTAACACCTGGATTCACACCCACCTTTTCACCACAAAGAATACCCCCCTTTTGTTTCATGCCACCCTTTCCCCCTTTGAACGTCCCTCCTACTAATCTAATAAACCCCCAACCACTTCCACATCATCTTCAATCAGGCAAGAAACACGAAGACAACATACCAATTCATCCTAGATACTTACTTCCTCCAGATTTTATTAACCTGGTCAAATTGCTATATGGGTATGTCTGTTGAGTTCATATCTTGAAACAACTTATTAATCTTATTACAATATTAGATTTACTAAAGAATTATGTTTGATTATTCCCAGTCACAGTCACTTGATCAATTTCAGCTCATTAAGTTAATAATATGCAAAAAGATATTTCCATCAGCATGTGGAACATTAATGACCTTACTGATAGGGTTATTGGTGACAAAACCAAAAATAACGATTTTCTAAATCTTATCAAAACGATTTTATATTTCGATTTTATATATCGATTTTATATTTCGATTTTATATTTCGATTTTATATATATCGATTTTATATTTTTAACCGAAACCTGGTCAAAGGAAGCTATTAATATTCCTGGCTTCAAGGCAACATCATCACCTGTATCTCCAAAATCAAATCGAAGTGGCCGACTTTCTGGTGGCATCACGCTTTTATTTAAAAATGAATTTCAAAGTCAAGTATCCATTGAAAAAACAACAAAGAATTCACTTTGGTGTAAAGTATCAAAAAATTTGCTGACCATTATCTATGTGGAATTTACATTCCTCCCGAAAAAACAACTTATTTTGATACTGAAATATTTGATAACCTTGAAAACGAAATAACCTCATTCTCTGCAAAAGGTGATGTTATGCTAGTTGGCGACTTTAATGCTAGAACTGGCAAACTAAATGACTTTATACCATATGAAGGAGACCAACATATACCTGGTCTTACCCAGAATAATAATGAAATGACTAGAGAAAATTTTGATAATACCATAAATGACCATGGTAAAATTCTTATAGAAATCTGCAAAAGCTGCAACTTACAAATTCTAAACGGGCGAACCAGAGGCGACTCCCTTGGTAAACCTACATTTCATTGTCAAAACAGTACAAGTGTATCGCTATGCTATATGTAACACTACTCTCATTCAAAATATTAAGTTACAGAGGAATTTGTATCTCGAGTTGCCTTGGGAAATTCTTTTGTCTCATTCTTAATCAGAGACTGTTTGATTTCACAAGAGATAACAATACATTACACCCATCACAAATTGGATTCTTACCAGGACACAGAACAACTGACCATATACTTACAATTAAATCCCTAACTGACAGATATGTTATGCAGAAGACATATGGACGACTTTATGCATGTTTTGTCGACTTTAAAAAAGCTTTCGATTCTGTATGGCATGAAGGACTTTTTTAAAAATTATTCAGGAATAATATCTCGGGTAATTTCTGTAAATTAATAAAAAGTTTGTATTCAAACTCCAAATGTATTGTTAAACAGTCTAACCACAGTACATCTTTTTTCCCATACTACAAAGGAGTACGCCAAGGATGCATCCTAAGCCCTTTACTTTTTAATCTATTTTTAAATGATCTACCTCCCTTATTTGAAAACGTGCCTTCTGACTCTGTTTTTCTACCCAACAATACAAAACTAAATTGTTTGCTATATGCAGATGATCTTGTCATCTTATCCAGATCCAAAGTTGGCCTCCAACATTGCCTAAACTAGCTAAGTAGCTGATGTAAAAAGTGGATGATGGAGTTAACCTGAAAAAAACCAAGGTCATGATCTTTCAAAGACCATCAAATAAACAACCCATCCCAAATCAAAGGATTTTACTGAATTATTCAAATTTTACTATTAAAAAATCACTTGAACTGTAGAAGTCGTAAGTTGCAATGACCTTTCAATGCCTGAAGGTCCTCTCCCAAAAATATTAATTTTTGAAGCTCGATTACTGCTTTTCTTGCATTTCCTGTAGCGATCGAGAAAAAAAAGTACCAATTTTAAGGGCATATATTCGGAAACTTTGCATTAAAGTTGCAATTGCACACTTATATTTTAGAACGGTCATGTAGTGAATGGATTTAGAACTTCACATTTTGTGTAAAGTTTCCACAATGATAATAATGACTGAACTCGATTCGAGCACATTTTTGCATGCACAGTCAAGAATTCAAACCCCCAAAATCTGGTGTCTCGCAAGTGGTCCATGAGAGTGGTCCACAAAGGTAGTCCACGGACCAGGTCCACGAAGGTAGTCCACGGACCTGGGGTCCGCGTTTTGTCGTTTCCCACATTATCCATATTAACTCTCTCCCTGACGCCTCTTTAGCAAAACAAGCGCTTTTCTTATATCCAAAGATCTATATCTAAATAACAAACCAAGCTTTTACTCCAACGCAATACACATACTTAAGACCTATACAGTACAAACAAATGATCTGAATGAGCTAGAACTCTTAAGTAACGCACATATACAATCTTATCTAGATATTGTCAAAAGTAAATACACGACTTTCTGGCAACACGACTTTCTGGCAACACGACTTGAATAACTCATCCAAGCTATCTTTCTACAGCACGTTTTAAACGAATGCAAATTAGAAGATTACCTCATAGTAATAAAAAACCAACCGCAACGAACAACACTTAGCAAATTTTGTATAAGCTGCCATAAACTACGCATTGAATGTGGTCGCTATCAAAACATTACTCATGAGAAAAGAACTTGCAAATTTTGTGAATCTGGTGAAATTGAAGACGAATACCATTTCGTCCTTTCGTGTAAAAATAATGCTCAAATTAGAAATATTTATATTGAAAAAATACAAAGAAATTTTGCGTTGAACCTAGAATGCCATGATGATGTTTTATTCTTCATCTCATCTAGTGATTCTATACTACAGAATGAATTTTCAAAATTCATTCATAGTTGTTTCATAAGACGAAATGAATGCATTGAATCCAGAAACTCTTGAAACACTACAACATCACGAACAGAGTGATATATCTTCAATATACACTAGCCTATATATAATTCAAAAATTGTAAATATTTTTTTTATTTATCCTTAATTGTTATTGTAAAAAATGCTTTAGCAATACCTGTAAATTTTTTGGGGTCATGCTAATAAAGCTCATTTAAAGTAAAAGTTGAGATAAGGTTGGGGGCAACGACCCCAGGATATTTTGAGATTATTGGCCTTGTTTTTAGTCTATATTTAGTTCAAAATTCTTGTTCAATGATACTGCTGTCATTTAATCAAACCAGCATTTAAATTTCTGTGGTGCGAAAACTTTTTGAGGTGGTGAAAATGTTTCGGGGGGTGCACACCACCGCCCAGAAGATCCATCAATGATTGCCATCAGATAATTAAATTATTATGGTATTAATATTATGACTTCGCTTTTGGCTATTCTGCATTTTAATGCCTTGTCCCATGTTTTGTGATATCTATAACCAATAATTCCTGCAAGATAGAAGATGACAGTCATATTACACTAACATTATTACACATTCTTCCACCTGAAAAACAGCATTTATTACCAAAAATTGTGGATGCATGCTTCTTTTCATCCACAAAACTGCATATACACTTAATAAAGTTCCTTTTACATAGTACTGAAATGGCAAATCATTATCCACTAGTTTAATCATAGTTTCTCTGTAACCAATTTCATGAAAGTCGAGACAATCACCAGGGAAAGATAACAATTTGTTCAAGAGAGAGGAAGGATCCACAGTTAGGTTTACTAATTAATAAAAATATTCTTGTTATAGTTCTTTGTGTATTCCACTTTGTTGTGGAAATACATGTATGGTTTGAACATTGAGTCATATTCCAGAAAAAATCCACACTCCAACTATACGTGGAGGAAATTTATGCTGTCTGGAGGGGCAGATTAGAATCTACTCCTGAGAAAAGTGAAATACACTATAAATAGGACAGGGGCTTGCAACTTTACATTTCTTGTGTAGGGATGATGCGGATGTTTTCAGAAAATTTTCAAAATCTTCTGGGTGAGTGTGCCCCCCAGAACCGCTAATAGGCTCATGCCTTCAGCAGCTCCCTCGCCAACTTACCAACCAATTTCTTGATGATGCCATTGATTGTTCCACCACTTCTGTTTTACTGGCTATGCCACTGCTCACAACATTAAATTTAACAGTTTCTGGAGTCTCTTAATACTTGTCACTTGATTATATGGCAAAATCCGATCAGTCAATTTAAAAGCCTAGTTCTCATTCATCGTCTCCTTGCGATTTATGAGAACGGATCAAAAATGATGTCGGCAAGCGTCGCCAACCATCGGCGTTGCCATCGCAAGAAACAAAAAAGTTTGTTTCTTCTGATCATCGCTGATGGTCGGCGACTGGCACTTGCCTGAAAAATCTATGAGAATGTGCATCGCCGACATCGGCGATAGCTTGCATGTGCTATTATTCGAACCCAGACTCCATAACTCAGCACATTCCAACATGGCTGCCATTGACAATGGAGAAGAATCACTCGAATCAGTGCAAAATTGGAATATTCTTGCTGCTAAAGCAAAAGAAGATGATAGCAGTTTTATGGAAATCATTCGTGATTTTCCTACAATATACGACAAGCGAAAAAACGACTTCCATGACATACGAAAGAAAGCAAATTGTTGGCAACAAATAGCCGAATTGCTCGAAACTACAACGGAAGAAGTAGAAAGAAGATACAAGAGCATCTGTACTGCATTTTCGCGTTATCTAGCAAAGCAGAAGTTGAAATTTGGATCAGGATTAAGTGATATTCTGAATATTAATCCAAGGTTTGAGAATCTTGGATGGCTTGTAATCCATACGAGTTCAAGAGCTGGGACCAGCAACTTGCAACTATCAGTAAGTGAACCAATTAGGCTCAGTGATAAAGAGCCTGATCTTGTTGAAGCGTCGATTGAAACAGAAAATGTCATACTAGAGGAAAGTAGCACGAATTTAGATGGCTTTGTGGACTATTCCAAGGCCAAGGAAGTGAATTAAGTCATGGTGGAGCAGAGGAAGTACGTGCCACTGACAATGGAGTTTCCCAAACAAGTGCAATAAAGAGGCAAAAGAAAGATTATGGCAGTGGCATGAGTTGGGTCGGAGCCAAAATCAGCAACAAAGTGCAACTGAAACAAACTGACGAGCAAATTAAACAAACCATGGCAAAGCTAGACAAGTCCTTAACCTATTTGGAAAATTCCCGAAAGGAAAACTCTATTCCAACCAAGGAGATGGACGAAGAGTCCTTGTACTGTTTGAGTTTAGCCCCCAGAATGAGGAGGCTTGATGCACGAAAGAAAGCATTGATCAGAAGTTCTATTGAGAAGGCTTTTTTTTTAAGTTGAACATGGAAATTTTTCAATGTCCACAGCAAAATTGTTCTCAAATTCTTTCTCAACTCCAGTTGGTGTTGTTCCAAACAGGCAAGCATATTATGAGAGCAGTGAAAACTCCTCTCACATATGAACCATTAATATGACAGTTTATCGGGGTTTTTTTTTTTTGTTTTAATCAATTTACATTAACAGTTTTACGTTAACAGTTTTAAATGTTAGCGTTGAATGCTATTGTTCCTTAAAGTTTTAAAGCTTTAACATTTTTATGGTGGCCACCAAATCGACTCTGTGCATTGACTTTTTGCAACTTTTCATTAACTAGAATTTCAGGACATAAAAAAATACTGTATGATATATGAGCATTTCAATGTCATCTTTTGTAGTATGCTATTTCAATTATTCAAGTCAATCTAAAATAAGTTGCTGCACAGAATACTTTGTTGATCACTCATTCACTCTTCACTTTTTGGCAAATAGAGTATCGAATATACTCATATATTCTTTACATTGTTTGAAGTTACAGTTCATGCTATATATTATGTTACAGTAGGTATATACTTTTTTCTATATCATAAAAACACAATTAAAATGCTTTTTAAAAAATTGTGACAGTATTTGTCAGGTATGCATTGTATAATGTTATGCACTACCGTAAACCTCCGACTATAAGCCCTGGTCTTATATACTTTCGTAAGTGATTTTTGATGGGCTTATACAAGGGGGGGGGGGGGCTTATGTATGGGTGGGCTTATACATGGACGATATTTTGTGTTAGTAATAAACAAGTCAGACATAGACAAGTCAGTCGTAAACAGGGAAATAAACGTGTATTAAAAAACTCATTAATAATTCATGAAGAAAACACAAAGAAAAATCATAAGCGTGTCGTATCTGTATATGTGATACGGATTCATGTTGATTTACATAAACTTTAACTTTGATTTTCTCGGCTTAGACAACGTTTATTTTTAAAATTACTTCGCCAATGAACTCATAAGATGAGTCGTTTTTTAAGTTGTAGATGAGTCGTTTTTTAAGTTGTTTACAACATTCGTGTCCGTGTTGTATCAGATATACAAACTCTCGCCTTTGGCTCAAGTTTGTATATCTGATACAACACGGCCGCTCATGTTGTAAACATTACTTAAGCAGTGATTACTAGGCTTATATTCATTGATTCTCTGGGGGGGGGAAATGATTTGCACCCCCCCCCCCCCAAAGGCATTTGGCACCCCCGCAAATTACATATATTTTGATTTGATAGTTTCATATTTATTCTTACTACTAAATTTGTAAAATTACCAATATTATGGTCTCAGATCTCGCCATGCAGGCCTAGAAAACAAATTTTGTTAAACTTTTCCTTGGCCTTTCCAGGCGTTGCCACCATGCCCCGGCCAAAGCAAGCAGCAGCACCCCCAGATATTTATCCACCCCCCCAAACGAAAATATGAAAATCCATCTCTGCTTATATTAATTGGGGGACTTATATTCGGGGGGGGGCTTATATTTGAAATGAGGTGAGCGTTAGTACATGTCGTGGGCTTATACATGGGGGGGGGGCTTATATTGGGGGGGGGGGCTTATAGTCGGAGGTTTACGGTATCTAATTAACTTCCAAAGCTATTTACATAATTAACCTGCCATGATAAGGATCCTTCTCTGTTGATGAAGTATTTCTTAAATGTTTCTCGAACTTCATTAGCTTCAAAGGAAGATCTGTTATTTGCTCTTCCAACTGTAAATGCTTCCATAGCACCAATGTCACCCGTAGTAATGTTTCTCCAGTTACCAGGTATGAAATTACCTGTACTATCTTCAGCATCGACAAAACCAGCTGGGATGTAATGGGCATTGGATGTCAGCTGTAAATAATTATGTAGGCATAAGCATGCTTTTATAATCAAGTCAACTGTTTGTGGCTTGGCTTTGATTGGGCGGCGAAAAATCCTCCACCTTGCTGCAAGGATACCAAAACTGTTTTCTATTGTTCGCCTGCAGCAACTAGGTCTGTAATTAAAAATTTCATTGTCTTGTGGTAATCTCTTGCCACCATAAGGTTTCAATAACCATGGCTTAAGGACAAAAATTTCATCTGATACAACTACATAGGGAAGTGTATGACCGTCTATGGAACTGCAGGTGGAACATTTAATTCATTAGACAAAGCTTTGCCTATTGCTGAATTATTAAAAATTTGTGCATCATTATCTCTTCCATTATTTCCAATATCCACTAATGTAAAACAGTATCTGGCATCACACATGGCCATCAATACAATGCTGTAAAACTTTTTGCAGTTAAAAAAATTAGACCCACTGTTTGCTGGGCGTTCAATTGCCACATGTTTCCCATCCAATGCACCAATGCAGTTTGGAAAATCCCACTGACTGAACATTTCATTTGCTATCTGTTCCCACTCTCAGAGTTTGGAGCCTTTAGATAACTTGCACTTAAAGCATTCCACAGTCCACTGCATGTTTCTTTTATAATATTGCAAACTGTGCTTTTACCCAATCTGAAAATAAACCCTTGGGATTGCTGAGAGTCACCTGTTGCCAAATAACGTAGGTTACAACAAGCCTTTCTCCTGGAGAGAGGGGTATTCTACTGTTGCATTTCTTCTTCACAATGTAGGGGGCAACTTGATTTAATAGATGCTCTAACCTTTCTGGACTCATTCTCAAAAATGTGAAGAAATACTCCCTATCGTGCAATCTTAACTCGTCAACCAAAATATGAAACTGGCTTTGCTGCTGGCATTTCTTCAACATTTCTCTCACCCAAAACCTTCTCTTCCGTGGTTTGTTTAGAATTAGTAAAATTTGTTTTTTCCTTAACAAGGCAATAATCAATTGAAGTTGGATAGAAATCATCAACCTAACATTGAACGCGGCCATTTTTTGCTTTGGCGGGAAATTCCGAAACACATCGGCTTTCATCTGCGAAGATCGACGATGTACGAGTGTTGAATTTTGACAAAATATTTTTATAATTTCGCACACAATGTGTCCCATGAATCTTACCTGTGAAAAGAATTACTCGTCCTTTATGCAAAACAAATTGTTGCATCAGCAAGCGGAGCAAAATGGCACTTTAATTCCTTCCAAGTTGTAAAAGAGCCCAGCAAAATACGAGAAAATATTATGTTTTTAACTAAAAACACTGCCAAAACCAGGGGGATGAAAACATCGCCTGAAGCTCAGGATCGAGGTTGGTCAGTGGCAATTGTGTGAGAATTACGGAACCAGTTGTCATGGAAATGGCGTCAGCAAACGTCAAAATCCGCCATTTTTTTGGCTTCACTTCGTTGACTGAACGAAGTATAGGAGCAGATCCTCCAGTTATTATACAGCTCAGTGGTGGTCATCCTCACTGATCTCAAAAATATGGCGGACTGTCACGAATAGCGGACACTGATTGGTCCAATTTAAAGTTTGCATTATAACAACTGCATGACGACAGCGAAATAGCAAACATTTCTTGATTTTATGATTGATAAATTTCTTGCAAATATATTTCATTTTTGCAAGATTTTGTAAATTTCAAAAGCTCTCTCAGAAAGAAACTGCGAAAGAATCAGCTAAAAGAAGGGAGCCGACGTTAACAAGTTTAAATATTGATTTTATAATGGCTTTAAAACCCGACGGCCTTTGCATATATGAAACAACTAAACAAGACAGCATATAATTTCAGTGTATCTTTAATATCGATTCCCTTTTTTATGATATTGAATTTTTTAAATAAATAAGAAAGCAAAGTTATTTGAAAGCGAGAATTTGAAATCATTTTATTGGCAGTTTAGTTTTATAAAGAACACTGGTGACTTTAAAACGTTTTGCGAAGCGTTTGTGGTTGAATTTTACCTTAAATTGAGGCTTATATTACGTATAATAACATACCTAACATATATCTGTTGGGAAATTAATTTTGTAATTAAAAGTGATATTTTTAGGCGATTTTTCATTTGTAAGAATATTCTTAAATTAAAAAATTATCGTGTTACCATGGTAACTACTTTACATACTTCATGTTCGGAAAATACAATGGTTTTGTCAGCAAGGCAAGGGTTTCTGCATGCATGTATTTTCTAGTTAAAAAGCCTATTAGGTTTCTAGAAGGCTTCTCTAGCCTATCGAAAATGATAGAAAAATAAATGTAAATAACTTGATATTTTTATGGACATAATAAAATAAAAAGAAAAAAGAAAAAAACAAAACTATAAGCTATTCACTTAGAATAGAATATATTTGCTCACAAAAAATACTTACAATGGAAATATAGTTAAACTAGAAGTTACTATCGCAAGGAAAATGCTGCCTCAACCCGTCTTCCATCACACAAGCACGTAAAGCACCCTTAAGGACACCAGGAGGTAGGAAAAGTACAATTTGAATACGAAAACAGCTTGCACAAAGTCGAAGGTCAGCTAGATATTCTAATCATAAAGATTATAAATAACACTAGAAGAGGCATTGAGGTTAAAAATATGGGAACATGTCTATTTTCAAATGTAGGTCCCGGATATAAAATCATGCTCTCACCAATGGGAACACAAGTACACATGCAGGAATTTGCCCCCAATAGCAGGATTCCTTTTTTGCCTAATGTCAAGATTGCGATGCCTCCTCTAGTGTTATTTATAATCCCTATGATTCTATTCATAGATTCTATTAAATCCTATCGACTTCCACAAATTCCTTACTCTTCAAGAAATTACTTCCTTGAAAATTCATTCGTTCTAAAAAAAGGAAGGACTTTCTGAAAGTCTACAGGTCATGCTATGCACATTTTTAATAATTTGCATTATTCAGATAGATGCAGGTTTATTGGCCATTTTCGCATGACCAGTTGTCATGGCTAGCTTGCCACTGAATTATGTACAATAACATGTATAACAAACAATAATAATACTTGAATGAATCATTGGATATGTAGAATTTAATTAAAATTTCATACATAAAAATACTACCAGTAAGGGCCTGTTCATATGGGCAAAAGTTATCCGTGTTAGCGAGAAAACTTTTCAAGAAGTTTACAAGCGAGATCTCACCTTGGTATGAAAATAATATGAAAAGTTACATTGCGTTCATATGAGACAACAACTTTTTCCGTGTACCGAGATCTCGGTGACCGGGATAATGTTTTTCCCACATGAACACAACTTTCCCGCTTAGCGGGATAACTTTCTGTTGTGTCAGCAACTTTTCAATTAAATTCATGTTGAAACTTTTCACGTTTCTCCATGTGAACAGAACAAAAGTATTTGGCTAGTCGAAAAGTTTTCTCCTTAGGCCCTGTTCACATGAACCCGGGACAGCATTATGTCTCGGGGCAAGCAATTGTCGCGGGACAAAAATTGTCTTGGCTCCTCAGTAAAAGAATAGTGCTGTTCACATGATATTTTACTTGTCCTAGGACAAGAATTGACCCAAGTGTCTCACTTCTGTAGACAGGGACACTCGCCTTGCTGGGACAACTTTTCCTCATGTGAACACTGTCCCGGGATAATTGAATTTTGGTGAAACGATCAAAATCGCGGCTAAAATTACATTTAGAGCACGTTGGACTCCACAAAAACTTGTTATTTGATTTACTATATCATTAGAAATCTATAAGTGATGATTCTAAAAATATTGAAATAAAATTGTCGCTAATATCATGTAGTATGTTACTCAAAGAATTTGATCTGGTCAACCAGAAACAATGAATTGAGCACATTTTATTACGGCTGATAATCAACTAGTACGTTCTATTTGTAAATATCATAACAAAAAATAACGACTTGCATTTATTTAGCAATATTTCACCGTTTCCCGTTGGCGGGAATATTTTATGATTCCCGCGTAATGTATTTATAGGCATGACCCGCGCTAGCTTTGTTCATGTGAACAGAAGATATCAGTACCCCGGGTCAATGACTTGTCGTGGGGCAGTTGTTTATCCAGGGATCATATGAACAGGGCCTTAAACCGAGATAACTTTTGACCATATGAACAGGCCTTTTGAAGTCAGTTTTGTC